TACTCCTTTCATACAAGTGATCTAATCAGATCACTTGTATGAAAACAACGGCGGTTCCACACTATACATTTAGTTCTGCTCGTCCGGCACCGAAACTGCATGTAGGAATTCCACACCCCTGGGTACACTGTCAGTCCCGCCGCCTCAGCTCTCACACATTCGCTCCATAAGACGCACAGACATTTTTGCCCTCCTTTTGGGGAAAAAAAAGTGCGTCTTGGAGCGAAAAATACGGTATGTCTTTTGGGCACTTGTTTCCGAAATTGAATGCTGGCATAGAAACCTTTTATTTCTGCTGGGGAGCGGACTGGGACAACTGTGATATAAAAGGAACTTTAAACCAGTTTGGATTAGACGACAATATCCTGGCCATAGTAAATCTCGTCACTAGCTGGCTCTATCACTGGCACTGGTTGGGAAATGAATACTTGCTAATCCGTATCCTGTGGCAATCAAAGGTGGAGAGCGAAATTCTGTTTGGAAATCGTATTTGATGAAGGTCAGGTCCCAAGTCCCAGCACTAGTTTTATCTGTCACCTGAAAAGCAACCACCATATTGCTCAACTGTGAGTGACTCAAAGATCATTTTAGCTTGATAGCTTGAGATAGCTCATTGGAAGTGGCTGTTAGATTGTAAAGAAAAATCTGCTCAATTACCAAAGACACATTTAGCTCAACTATGGCGCCATTTTCTAATATAAGTGAACCCACATATGCGCCAGGTTCACTATAGCTAGAGTCCACCTTGTTATAGACAAAGCAAAAGTCGCATATGTCTGGTGAGTAAGCAGTGTCATCATTCTCCAAATGGGAATTGTTGCCTGCTGAGGAAGCAACATATTCAAGCAATGCTCTTCATCTTGGCGCCAAACCACACTTCTTCATGCTGCTGAGCAGAGAAGGGCAGAATGAAGATTTTGATGTCTTGTCTGTCCGCCGTGATACTGATCATCTGATGCATGCAGGCTGACATCAAGCAGTTCATTTTCACACATTGGAGTCAATTTGCAAAGCTTTTTTTCTGATTTTGGATGTTATTTAATAGATATTGCACCATTTTTTGGTTTGTTCAATTCACCAAATGATTTAACGCTTGGAATCTCCCCCAATTAACGCCTGTGTTTGCAGAAGTGATACTTTATTGTGTAACTCGTTATTTAACATTTAATTCCTTATTCTGACAAGCCTAATCGTTAAATATGTACAGAAGTGCTATTCACAAAGATTTTTTGGCCATTCATCAAATCGTTACATAAGCACGTCCTTCAGCGTTGACACATTTCAGGCGGTATTTCTGCTCTGAGGGTCCAGTCACACCATATCCAGCGCGTCCTGGTGCAGTTCTCACCTGGAACGCACTGGATCGCATGCATGAAGCTGGCCTGTGCCATTCATGTCAATGACACCGCAAACACACTCCCCACAGTGCGATCGCCTGTAGCGGAACGCGAGGTACAGGAATGCCCCCGTTTCAGTGCAATCTGAAAAAATAGTACATGCAGCATATTTTCTGATCGTACAGCGCCCTGTCATGTCTTTGCATGAGTATACCCTATCGAAAGGTAAGAAGCAAGATATCTGTAACAGCAGCACCACAATCAGCTGGCTTGTTGCCACAAATCTCCAAACAAGGACAGCCACATTACTTAACAGTCTCTCCTCAATGACCTCTTTCAGTCAGCTGAGGTAAGACACTGATCTAAACAGCATCCCCTCAACTGCTACTGCATTCATTTCCCGGCTCTGCAGGCCACGCCCATATTAGCTAAGAACCAGGCATAAAACCACACCCACCTACCCTCCTGACCGCTCACCGATACCGTCAAGCTGTAAAACAAACCACGCCCACCTTCCCTGTTTACAGCTTAGCAATACTGGTAAACCGCAAAGCAAACCACGCCTATCTTCTCACCGATTCTGTCACGAAACCTACGAAGCAAAACAAAGCACGCCCACCTCCCCTCTTCAGAGCTCTGTTATCCTGTCACACAGTCACTCAGCTGAGCCACCGGCCCAAACGCTACAAATTTCGGCTTATGGAAAAAATGTGTTAAGCCTTCGATAACACAACCATTAATACACTCAAACATATCAGCAGAAACTGATTTGCCAGAAACCTAGATGGTTCCCCATTGTTTTATATGTAACGGAAACAAAGTCGGCCATCTTGGTTTCTGGTAAATGTTACATCGCTCCTGTATTGGGAAGACGATACGTATAAAAAGGACATAAAACCTAAAAATTAGAGTAAGCTTGGACGTTGGTGGTGTTTCCTGGGACGCACGCCCACATCCTGAAATGTGACTTACTTTGGCAATGGCAACAGAGATTCACATGCAAAGCACATGACTTACCAGACCTGGGAGCTGTGTACACACTCCTCCCAGGGGTCATAGCTCCTCCCCCCACCTCCCGGGATGTGGTAATATTCTGTCACAGGGTTTGTGGCACTTGTACCCAGAGTGTCAGTAAGTATGGCACAGGTCTGCCTGAGAGACTGCAAGGTGAGTATTCACTCCAGTCACTAATGCAAGTGCTGAATACTAATGGGGGATCTCTGCTTGTCTGAGCAGACAGGACATTGCACAATTGTAGGGACTGCACAATGCAGAGCTGCACCTGACTTGGGAGATCTGTACCTGGTGATCATAAACTGTAAAGTTTATCTAATTAAGCCACATTTGTTTTTTAGGTTTTGGATGAAGTGTGAAAGGATTAGAAGGACCAGAACCCCTGTCAGGTTGTTATTGCTGATGAGAGTCGCCCTATTTGACCTGGTGACCATTTTACTGAAAATGCAACATTTTGGGTTGTCACTAGAACAGAAATAGCAGGGAAATCTTTCAATTAGGACAAGTGTTCCGCTGAGATTGACCTCACGTCCTGTTGTGTGTGCAGGTGGCAAAAAAACCTGGCAGGGATTTTAACTAGGGATGCAGCGATACCGAGTATTTGGGTGAGTACTCGTACTCGCCCAAATACTCCGATACCGGAGCTTCCGGTCAAAGGAAGATTTCCTCTTACCAGCAGTGCCGTAGGGGAACATGGAGGCGGCTTCCCAGGCCAATCAGGGAGGCGTGTCATTACTTGCTACCTGGCTTCCTGATTGCCCGGGAAGGCGGTTCTACGTTCCCTTACAGCACTGCCAGTCAGAGGAAATTTTCCTCTGACCGGAAGTTCAGGTATCGGATCATTTGGGCTAGTATGAGTACTCTCCCAATTACTCGGCATCGGCACCAATATTACCGATATTAGTATTGGTATCAGTGCATCTCTGCTATTAACAAAAATGTAGATTATTTGTGTGTCACTCAGCTGTAGATCCTCAGATCATCTCTGGTCAGTTGGTGCTGACACTATCCTTCCTTCTGGAGGGGGGCTACTTTTGTTCCCCATGGTCCCTGTGTGTGTTGTAAAGTAGCCAATGCTCCAAACTCACTCCAGAAGGAAGGACAGTGTCAGCACCAATTCAGAGATGATCGGAGGATCTACAGCCGAGTGATACACAAATAAGATACATTTGTGTCAGGGGCGTAACTAGAAATCACAGGGCCCCATAACAAAATTTTGTATGGGGCCCCGTGATTGCGGGTTATGCCACTTGCAGAGCCCACCTAATATACCAAACAGCCCACCTGAGAGTGATCCTGCAGAGCCCACCATAGACTCTCTATAGTGGGCTCTGCAAGGTCTCAGATGGGCTGCACACCTCTTACCAGTCAGCGTTGTCCGCCTCCGTGGTCGCTGGGCCCCGCCTCCTCTTCTGTCCCTCGGCCCGCCTCCTCTTCTATCGACGGGCCCCGCCTCCTCTTACATCACTGGCCCCACCTGCTCTTAGGTTGCTGGCCAGTGATAATGAGGAGGTGGGGTTGCTCTTAGGCGGGCCCCGCCTCCTCCTTCACTGTAAACGCTGGCCTGCTACAGCGGCTGTGAGGGGAAACGCTGCTGCTGTGCTATGTCAGTGACAGCCAGCACCCTTACATGCCATAGCGACACAGGCGGCCCACACGGCATCAGAGGGATGCCCTGGCCGGGCCCCCCTGTGCCCGTGCCCCATAGCGGCCGCCTGGTTCGCTATGACGATTGTTACGCCACAGATTTCTGTTAATAGTTAAGGTTCTTGAATGTATTTTTAAGGTTTAACTCCTGAGTGTAGTGTCACTTTAAGATACGAGTTTTGAGATCTGGAAGGAGACCCAGTTCAAAATAATGCATAGAGCATACGTACCATATTTTGTACCACCGGGTTCATCCGCACAACGTCCCGTTTCGCAGCGCCCTAAGTGTGGCCAACCACGTCCCTCACTAGCCCACTGCCTCTGGTCTTGTCCATCTATCTCTGTGTTCTGGACGAGGATCTCCTCATATATTACCTCCATTGTCTCATGGTCACCAACCATGTCCCCCTTGCTATTTTTGTTTAGTGAGCTGCAGGACTCCACGGAGGACTTTCAGCAATCCAAATGCAAAGACTCAGACTGGATGCATATATGTCTGCTAGCAGCTAGAAGGTGCATTATGCGTTCTTGGAATGCATCTTCGGTCCCCTCGTTATCAGAGGTTGTGAGAGAGCTCAAATTGTTGTTCAATAGGGAGCGAACTTCATAAGGATTTGAGAACTAAAAATTTTTTCAGGCGCTGGCGATACTTCGCTGCTACCACCTTTGATAGGTCCGTACTGTCCCAAATAATGTCTCCTTTTCTATACACCTCTTGGTATTTGAAGGCTCAATTGTCCAATGCTCTGGGAGAATTGGACGGCACATCACATGTTGTTTCTGCGCCCATCTATAGCCAGGGATGGCCAAACTGCGGCCCTCCAGCTGTGGTGGAACTACGAATCTCATGAGGCTTTGCAAGATTCTCACAGCCACAGACATGGCTCCCGGAGAGAGATGCTTCATGGGATTTGTAGTTTCACCACAGCTAGAGGGCCGGAGTTTGGCCATCCCTGGATTAGACGATCAGGGCAACCAGCACGGCACTGCTTATTTTAATGCTTTTGTTCATTCAGGATTTCTTGTGTGCCATTATTTTACTGTTTTCATGGTTTGAAACTGTTTTATATTCTATTTGCACATAAAGAACAAAACCTTTAATAACATTAAAAAAAAAAAGATACAAGTTTAGCAGCCCCTTTGTTTATTACTGTGCAGGCTTGGCAGGATGCTGGGATGACCTTTTCCACTACAAGTAATGAAGCTTGCAAGCTGTTTGATGCCAC